TTAAATGCAACCGAATTTAATGTAATATTTCTATTACATTATCTGGGTACCTGTTCAATATTATTCACATATGCACAATATCTTTGTGCTCTATTTGCAGGAGCTCCTCTGAAAACATTTGGCTACATCAACATAAACATCACAGATGCTGAATACAAAAGATGTACGTATAGTTATTTAAATAAATTCTTTCTTGCTTTCTTTGTCATGAAGTAAATCAATCTGTACATTTGCTTTTTTTATACAGGTGTAGGCATCTTAAATAAATCCACATGGAAAGGTGGAACCTTGCTTATTCAGTTGGCAAAAGAAAGCTTTCTACATAGGTAAAAACTTTCTTCAACCAATAAATATTGGTTAAACTTTCTGTTACTATATATATACTGATTCTGTATTGTTTTTTTTTTTTAGACTTGCTGAGGAACGACAGCAACTGGTTGAAAAGGCCAAGACACCAAAGATCATCCCTCAGGAGAAATTAGTGGATTCGTTTAAAGTGGCCGGCGTTGAGAATTTCCACATGAAAGCTGCCGTTCCAGGAACTGAAATTCCCGGCCATAAGGTCTGTGTGATTTTCTTTTGCTAAGAACTTTTGTCCAGTTGTAAAAATGGCCCAGATGCTGATTTAACCTTGGTTTTGTGTTTATCCACTCTTCCAGAATTGGGTCGTGAGTAAATTTGGGAGGGTACTTCCTGTCGTGAATCTGAAGTATAAAGGAAAGGACAAGATATCCTTTTCCATGTCACAATTCTAGGATGATTTACTTAAAAGCATTGACACAGATATGCTTGCAAGTGCCCTTTTGCTTGGAGAAACAAGTCATTGAGATGTTCATTACCTAAAACTAGCAGATGCATTTTCCAAACTAAATTTTTTTATTGAAACATTTTTTACACAAAACTTTTTTGTTTATTTTATCTGTCATCCTCTCCCTTTCTTGTCTGCTGACATTGGCTTTTTTTTAGTGAAGTGCCATCTTTTGAAAAATATTTATATCTGGGATCAGGGGCGCCGCTAAGCGGGGGGAAGTTAGGACGATTCTAAGGGCCCATGCACTTTTGGGGCCCCCAGAGATTTCACTTTCTCACTTAAGTTCTTTGTGCAGCAAACGGTTTATATGTATTTATATATAGGGCTATACAGCCATCTGGAGATTACACCCTGATATTGCAGATGATAAATGGTGCATGATTTAGAGGTTAATATTTAGTAAAATCTCCTTAAAATAATAAAAATATTAAAGAAAAAATATTATTGAGCTAAAATCACAAACTCACAAATATATTCGTTCTCATATAACTCTGTCTTCATTCATTTGTATGTTCATCTATAAGTGTTTGGGCTGTTTAATATTAGGATTTCCCCCACCTTGGCCCCGCCCTTCAACATCAAGCCCCGCCCCCCTGCACCCCCAAAATATGTTCCCACGGCTATGGGTAGGTCTCTGACTAAATACTGATACCTAGTGGTATAGCAATAGCAAAAGTAATAGATCAGTGCACATCTCTACCACAGAATGTCTCTGTTCATTGTATGTAAGCACTCAATTATATGTTTTAAAATATTGCCATGGTCACACTGAGCCAATATTTATTCTGATGACTTTAGTGTGACTGATCAAGCTGTAGCTAGTATGAGTAACAAAATGCTTTCTCTGTGTCCAGATTTGACTACAATAATAATAACTGACACTTCAAATCAACATTTAAATTTCAACTTTTACTAGATGTAGTCTTTAATAATGTCTGAAAATATATCAATGAATAACCTGATACAAGTAACGTGCTTTATGTCTTAAGTTCTCACTCTGCAGCAAATGGTTTATATGCATTTATATATAGGGCTATACATCCATCTAGAGGTTACACCCTGATATTGCAGAAGATAAATAGTGCATAATTTAGAGGTTAGGATAACTAGGTTGGCTTGTATGTTTGGTGCGGTAGGGGGCCTATTTTCTTTCATAGGGCCCAAAATTGCTAGCGGCGCCCCTGCCTGGGATCATTATGAAGAACAGAATCACAATGAATCAACAATAAAAAAGCTACCAAATTTTGCTTAATCGCAAAGTTTCATCGCAATATATAATCATTGCAGTTAATAGTGTTCACCGTCATACTTTCAATGTAATTCAATATCTACCCTTAACTCTTGAATACGTTTTTAAGTATGATCCATCCAAACACTGCCACAACATCAAGAGACTGGAGACTGCGGATGACGTCACATCAGTGTCCAAGCTGACATGGGAGATTAAAGGTGGAGACGATGAAATCAGTAAGAAAAGGCGAGGAGAGTTTCCAAAGCAGAAACCGTGTCCCAAAAGATCCAAAATAGACTTGAGTTTGTTTCTTAGTGATTTGGCTCAGAGAAATGGAATGAATGCGGCTGCCACTGGAAACAAAAACAAAGTGGCGATCCAACAAAATGGACTCTCTGCTGTAAAGACAGGAAAACAAAAATCTGTTTGTGTTTTCGACAACGACTCTGACTCTGAAGATGAAATCAGAATGTTGGTTGCTCAAGAACATTTGAGGAACCCTAAACAAACCTCCACGGAGGATGACGACGACAACAACCTGGAGGTGGTGGGAGATGATTTTGTTGTCAAGTCTAATGTTTTCTGGGGTGGAGTGGAACAAGATGATGTGAAAACGTCCCTACTGACTTCATCAAAAGACGATGAGGAATATGATTCTGCGGACACTGATGAAATACTCACTCGGAGAAAGACCCAAACACAAGTTGAATCTGCACCTGTTACTCAAGATTCCCCAACAGAATCCAGTAAAAACAAGTCTTCAACTGAATCTGATGATGGTAGTGATGAGGCATATGTTGATGATGATGTTAGTGTAGATTCTGATTATGAAGCCATGATGGGGATCTGCTACCGTTTAGATCTTTCCCTAGCAGACTTGGAGCAGCTAGCTAAAAAAGCGGAGGTGATTTCAGATGATGAAAGTGTAGAAGAACCCAAAGACGAAGCCAAGACCTCAAGTGCACCACCCAAAAAAACAGGCAATAACCCAGAAGATATTCTCGCTTCTCTTCTTGGAGACGACACCCCTGAGAAAGAAAGTAAGAAGAAGAATCAGGTAAACACTGTATCTCTTCCTGCATTCATTGGAACGAAGGATCTCTTTGGAGGTCCAGAGCCAAGCCTGAAAAGAGTCGCCCAAAATATAGACGGTGAATCTCCTAAAAGACTCAAACAAGACCTGAAATGGAAAGAACAAAGCATCTCAGAAGATACAAGTCAACCACAGTCTTCAAACCGTCTGTCTCAACAGAAATTATCCACTTTAAATATACAAACACCCTCAAAAAAACTTTTTAAAGCGTCCATCTCAGAAGATGATTCTTCTAGTGAAGAATCAGAAAGTGGTAATAAAGATGTCTTCACTTCTAAAACATCTTCAGCGTCACAATCGGTAATCCCTGAAACCAAACTAAAGACTGTCATCTATAATAACTCAAACACCCCAATCAAACCCAATCAGACGAAGACCTCCAGATCCTCCAGCAGTGACTCTTCTAGTGAAGAATCGGAATGCAGCGAGGAAGATGATAATGAAGACAGTGCTGGAGTTTTGACTTCTAAAACACCTTCAGTTGCGCAATCTGTAAAAACCATCTCTAAAACTGAAATGAAGACTGTTAGCTCTAACAATTCAAAGACCCCAGTCAAACCCAATCAGACGAAGACCTCCAGATCCTCCAGCAGTGACTCTTCTAGTGAAGAATCAGAAAGCAGTGAGGAAGAAGATAATGCTAAAGTCTCCAGTTCTAAAATGTCTCCAGCATCACAATCAGCAAAACCCAGCCCTGAAACCAAACTAAAAACTAGTAGGTGTAGTAACTCAGTCAAACCCAAGCAGACGAAGACCTCCAGATCCTCCAGTAGTGACTCTTCTAGTGAAGAATCAGAAAGCAGCGAGGAAGAAGACAATGCTAAAGTCCTCACTTCTAAAACGTCTTTAGCAACACAATTGGCAAGAACCATCTCAAAAACTGTAAGCTCTAATAACTCAATCAAACCCAAGCAGACGAAGACCTCCAGATCCTCCAGCAGTGACTCTTCTAGTGAGGAATCGGAAACTAGTGATGATGAGAAGTCCAGAACTCAGACAAAATATTCTAAACCTGCCAATTCGAAGAACGTTCAGGAGAATGTTGTTTCACATCAAACAGTTCTTCACTCAACTGTGATAGATGCTAAGAAACAACTGCAGGACAACCAGAAACGTCTTGCGGCACTGGAGCAACGACAGAAAGAAACCGAGCAACAGAGGAAACTCATTCAAGGTGCTCTTTCTAACGTGGTGAGTAGAGGTAGTCCATAAAAGTTTGAAGTATTTTAAGTGAGGATGCACAATGAATCAGTAAAATGTTGGTTATTGGTCGTTTTTAGAGATTTCCTTTAATTTAATAGTATTAGTTGTATCGTATATTTTTTTTTCATGCTCGTTACCTCTGTCATCATCTAACTCTCAAAAAGTTAATCTATTGTATTGTACATTATAATGCTGTGATGCCTAAATTCATGTGTAGAATTTAAAGTGTTTTATTTTTAATTTATTCAGACAAAATAGTATCAAATTTTAATATTGGCTATTTCTTATTTCATGTCATTATTCATAAATAAATTATAAAGAAAAATAGAAAAAATCCTGCACAGGACTAAGGCTTACAAAACTTGAAAAATAGAAATGTTGAAGATTTTTTCAGTCAACATGACCTTCATCAGGTTTACAAACATTTCAAGTTATGTAATTAAAACTTTGCTAATAAATCATACATATTTGAGTTTTGTAAACTTCATTGTTTTACAGATTTTTTTGTCTATGTTGGCCTTTGTATTTTTCATATGTTTTGATTATGTGAAGTTCATTGATTTATTGTACATTCATTAATTATACGATGTAGGGCTGCACGATTAATCGAACGCGATTAATCGCGATTGTCATGCACATTTTGTCAGTAAAGCTGGTTCTGTGATTAGTAGTAAATCTCCATCACCTGCTTTCAGATGGAGCAGCATTTACTACACTGAGCCGTAGTTCTCTGACAACCTATGCAAAATCGCGTTCATAATCGCAGACGATATAATCGTAAGATTATGAAATCGACGAAATCGTTCGCGATAATGACAGCTGTTTGCGTGTCTTCTCAGTGAACTACGGCTCTGTGTAGTAAATGCTGCTCCATCTGAGAGCACGTGAAAATACCACATTTAATAACATGTTTTTACTCCAAACTCACTTCATAAGGTCAGTCGAGTGTTTGAAATAAATCCTTCTGTGAGATGATGTGGCTTCTTAAACAGAGTAATTAAGGCACACAATATTTAATTGTATTCTAAGCAGTGATAATGGCTATGTCGATTAGCATTTCATTATAGATATACTTTATTATGATGAAAATTATAATAAGAAGAACTCAGATAAACCATATATTGCCATAGTCGTGTGTTTATTAGTCACGTTGAATCAATGAAAGCAGTTGAATCTTCTGTTTATTCAGCTGCAGCCATAGGCATTTCCTGGATTTCTTCTTCGGGGCATATTCGGATTTTCAGCGTGAGAGCGCCCTCTGGCCTTCGGATGGAGATTTACTACTGATCACAGAACGGTGCTTCACTGAAAGATACGCATGACAATCACAGCTTCTGCCTAATCGCGATTTATTGCCTTTGCGATTTAATTTCGATTAATTGTGCAGCCCTAATACAATGATTATTGGCTCATCTGTAGTGGCCTAAATTTTAATATCATTGTGTTACTAATTTAAAGTCATAATTCGCTGAAAATCTATGATTTTCAGGATGCAGTGAAAGCGAACAAAAGCAAACACATTGTGTTTGATTCTGATGATGAAGAAGAAGAGGATGAAACCACAAGCAGACCAGAACAACCACCAACAATCTTGAAAAAAAGCCTCTTTGAGGATGATTCAGGATCTAATGAAGATCAACAAACGTCCATGTTGAAAGAAAAGGCAAATATGGACCAAGATTGGAATTGGAAGTTTATTTTCTTGAACTCTTTGATATGTTCTTCATGTTTCCATCATAATTCCACAGAAAAACAACAAGCCAGGTGGCAGCAAGCTGTTTGACAGTGAAGATGAGGACGATGGTTCTGAGGACGATCGTTTCCAGATCAAGCCCCAGTTTGAGGGCAAAGCTGGACAGAAGGTTTGGATTGAGAGTCTTTATCAGGATAGAGAGAGATTCAGAGTTTGTTTGATTTCTCGTTCATCTGTCTTCATCTTTATTTCAGCTCATGAAGCTGCAGGCCAGATTCGGAACCGATTCAAGATTCCAGGTTGATTCTAGATTTCTGGAAAGCGATGATGAGTCTGAAGATCAAGGTAATTTATTTAACTATAATCTTGGGTTTCAATGCGTTTTGAAATAATTATTCACCTGTTTTGAATATTTCAAATTTCAGATGAAGCGGCTCCCGAAAAAGATGCAGACAAACAACTTCTTGAGGAGAAAAAGAAAAGTCTAGACATCCTCCAAAGCATTTTAAACACCAACATACAACCACAAAACTCCAGAAAGGGCACGATGTTCAAGTATGACTTCTTCAGATGTTCTTTGAGCATGTTTTGTTCTTTTCACTTGTTTTTAAAGGTTTATGTTTGGCTTTGTAGAGATGTTTCGAGCCTGCATTACGACCCGACACAAGAAGAACACACTGCTTTTGAGGCCAAGACAGAGGAACCAAAGAAAGAGAGGTATTACATGAACTCATTTTTGGATTTTAGACTCATTGTGACTTCGTTAAACATTTGTGTTTTTGTTGTTGGACAGCAAAGCAGCACGACGAAAGAAACGCATAGAGGCTGAAAAACTCCCTGAAGTTTCTAAGGACGTCTACTTTGATATCTCGGTGGATTTGAAGGAGGTCTTTGGGACGTCTAAAGAAAACCAGGACGAGAAGGAAACGGTTTCATGGGATAAAGAGGCAGAAGATACTGAAGATATAATGAAACACATGGAGGTTTCCTTCACTTCTAATGTAGAAGCAAAAGAAGACTCTTCAGGTGGATTCAAGTTCTCCTTCTTTGGTGAAGACACCGCTGCGGAGATGACCACCAAAACAGGTGCACTGATCATTTATGTCATTTTTCATTGTAGGTAAAATATTGGGTGTATCCTTGCACTTTAAAATAGTTTTTCGCCATTGGTTTTTCAAACGTTTTCATTGTTTATTTATGCTTTTTTTTTTAAATCACTTTTACATTATACCACATATAACATGTTGGAGGATAAAACATTATTTTTAATAAAAAAAATTTGCCAATCAGACGAGTACAAAATAGAGACAGTAAAAGGAGCCAAGTTCTCTTGGCAAGCGGACCCTCGTTTCCAGGACAGCAGTTCAGACGAGGAAGGAGTGGACGAGGTTGAGGAGGACCAATCCGCTTCCAGCAAAATCACAGAGTAATTATATTATCATTTAAACTATAATGCATTTATTAATCATTTACAGTTTGTGCTTGGTAGCACAAAGAATGTATCACTAGAAACATTTTTAATGATGCTAAGCCAGCTTAAATATATTGAGTGTCCTTAAAAGATGAATCACAAAATCCACTGATTAGTCAATAGCGAAAATACTGATGGAAAATCTTGGATACAGAATTTGTTTAGGATTATTATGTTTAAAATATGTAAAATACAGAAATATTAAAATGAAGTACACAGCAAAAAATATCTATTATGAATAAGAAAATAATATTTCAGTTTTTCTCCTTCAAAGTTTCATGTTTAATTCAATGTGTTACTTTGAAATTTACTAACAATTTCTGGTTTACAGTACACCATTTTTGTTTCACTGTGCAAATATTGAAGATCTTGCTCTCTTTCTAAGTCACTAATCAAATAAGCGAACACGTTTTGCATATATCTATATACCAACAAAATGTTGTAAATCTGGTTTGGATTACTTTTTGATTAAAGCTTCATTTTCTGCAGGGAACCGACAACATCAAAAAAGACCTTTTTCTTTTTCTATCAAAATGATGAGCGGTTAAAAGGTGAGATTTAAACCATTCATCTTGACAAATTAAAACATTCATGATCAATTAAACATAATCACTAACAACAGCATATTTGAATGCTTACTCGAGCCTGTGTGTGTGTATGAGGTTAAATTCAAATGGGTTTTGATCATTTTTCCTGTTGTGCTTTCAAACACTCTATGTACAAATCTCTTTTCTTCAGAGGGGCCAGGAATGTTTTGTAGAAGTGTAAAACTTCAAGACCAGAGGGAAGCCTGGGAACAGAAGAGGACGTCGCTCAGAGAGGTACCACAGATCTCAAACTGATTCATATGAAAAATTATTAATAAAAATCATAATTTCACTTCAACCAGCTAAATGTTTCATTATCCCTCCAACGTTAAAATATATTAAGTAAACTGTAAATGCACTAATAGTTTGTGCATATTATTAAAATACTACATTTTATTCTCCGTCCCTTTGCTTGAAACTGATTGTGGATTCCTAGTTTAACATATTTCAGAATGGTTTGTGACATTTAAAAGTACTGAAATTTGGTTTGCATTTTTTATGACATGAATTACAGCGGTTGTTCCCCCCAACAGGAGTGTCGCAAGAAACACAGAGATGCCAAAAGACGCCAGAGGCCTTCCCTGAAGACCTAAACAATTTCAAGTATTCAAAGACATTTTTTACTCCGAAGATGACCAGTTTTCAGACATTTTTGCCGATTCTGTTTAATAGATGTAATTTATTATTCAAAATCACAGTATCTAATGCATATTCTCTTTGTATGATTAAAATGATTTGAGAGAATAAAAGCTGGTTTGTACCACTAGAGGGTGGTGTGATAATACTTTCATGACTATTACAGCTGGCTTTAGTGTTTGTTTTCATTCCCCACTCACTTTCTCCAAACCACAGGATCAGCCCACAAAGTTGTTTTCTAGAAAACCTACTCTGTGCTTTTTACGTGTTTGCACGTGCCACATTAAAGATCATTTAGTACATATGTTTTGCACAGTAGATCATGCAAATGCTTTTTTTTGTTATTTGTTGTGATTCTTGCATGTAGTCGCTTAGAAAAGACTGCACAGTGTCGACAGCTACGAAGCCATCTTACATTTGGAGAAAAAAAAATGCATTTGTATGTGCAAAAGCGGTTGAGGAAACTCTTCAGCCTTGTCCTAGATACCATTTTGGCTAATGATAGTGATATTTGACCTCTAGTGTTTATTCTTACCCTTATCTGCAGACTCAAGCAGTTTCCACTAACTAGTGCAAAAGGGTAACTGAAGCCTTTACTATTACTTTACTCTTATGCCAAACTTCCAAAAATGCTTAAAGATTTCTGGTTATTCATGAAGGTTTTGATAACAGACATTTTTGTATATATATGATATCATATATGAAATACAGATATTGTAAGAATTTAGGTTCAAATTTGCATATATGTCGGTGTTGCCAAGTCCGCGGTTTTCCCGTAGAATTGGGCTATTTTAACACTGTTGCCGCAGGTTGAAGCGACCCTAAAAACATGATATTTAGCCCCTGAAATGCGAATTTTAACGGGGCAACCCCACCAAAAAAAAACACGTTTATTTTACCCTCCCCCCAGGAACACGATATTTACTGGGGGACCCCCCTCGAAATGCAATTGGGCTAGTTTTGAGTAGCAATTGGGTGGGTTTTGTTGTGAAAACCTGGCAACCCTGATATATGTAGAAGTAAAAAAAAAAATATATATATGTATATAGGTATTGTGACTGTTCACTTTTTTACCATTTGTAAGCACTTTTTGGATTTATTATAGTTCAAATTAATGTTTTGGATAAATTGTAGCATGTCTCACTTAAATCGCAATTTTGATTAGACTGTGGAATTTTTTATGTCACACAAGCTCAGGCAAGTTGGCTGGAAACGTGTTTAACGTAAGCCTGTGCAAAGGCCAAGAATGAAACATGCAATCACTCAATGAGCAAACATCTTGCACTGTTATTTTCGTCTACTGATGAAACCCTTCATAAATCTACAGGAACCTTTTGGCTCTGCCCAGCTATCATATATTGAGTGTGTTTTCAAGAATATCATTGTACCATTGACTTTGTGTTTGATTGACGGTGGTTTTGATCACTATAGGCAAAACAGCACGTATGTGGTTCTGAACTATAGTCATGAACACTGTGTTCTCCGCATAAACAGGACGCTGTGGTTTCCGATTTCACTGTGACATCACAGCTGGTGTCTATACAGCTGTGAAGGAAAGAAGCAGCTGTTCTGCAGTGACATAGTCCCCCAAAACTGCCATTTTGTGTTACCAAGTCCCGTTTTTGGCCATCAACTTTGATCATTTTTTTATTGCTGGAACTTTCCAGATAAAGTAGTGGCTCTGTCATGATGTTAAGATGTTTTGAGTGATTTTTAGCATATGTTGCTAAAGCTAGGATGTTAAAGTTAGCATGTTGCTAATGGGTTTTAAAAGAGCCCACAAAAAAAGTGTATTATTCTGGTTTATAAATATTGCTCAAGTTCGTCCTTCAATGTATGTTTGTGGGAGTTTTTACCCGCTTTGATAAAAACGCAATAATCACTAGGTAAATTAATAACTCACCTCTCCTCAACAAAACACATGATCTGAGGAATAATTAATGTTCCTAGCACAAATGTACAAGATTTGAGTTGCTATGTGATTCTGTGGAGATTGAGGAAGTTTTATGTTGTTCCTCAGATTAGCATTTGGTGTCTTCATCTGTTAAAGCACTAGTAGTAGATGTTTTTCTAAAGAGCTAGCAAATAGTCCTTGTGTAAGTTCAAATAGTTATGTAAAACCCACTTTGGTTCTACTCAAAAGCCTCACATTTAGGGTTTGTGATGCTAACTAATGCTAATGTGTGAATGGGGGATGGTAAGCCAAAAACAGTTCTTCATTCTCCATTTTAACATTAACTGAGCACAGTCTCTTTTAATTTTAAAGTTTCATTCTTGTTTTTTCACCAGTTAGCGTATGTTAGAAAAGATTAGCAAGCTGTTTGACAGATATGAATGAACACTGGTTGTTTTTATGACATAGAGAGGCTAATTTCTGAGCGGGGAGCAACCAGAATGTGTGCTGGTATTAAATATTTACATTTTACTTCGTCAATTCCTCTCATAGTGGGAATAACTTCCACAGTTACCTGTTACTAATGCCCTTAGCCAGCTCAAAAAGGCAGAGTCACGTGACCAGCCTGCGTCCGACTAGAATAACAACCCTTCTCCCAAATGATACACAGACACACTGTGCCTGCAAGAGTAAACTGAGAGGTTTTACACACATATTGAGCTGCTTTGGACTGCATATCTTATATAAATACACACATTGTGAAAATTCTTTCACCAAAATATTAGCTTTAGCATTGCTGGAATGAACTGATTGATTTACAGCTGCAGTCTGTAGCAACAGATGCTATTGTGCAAGATTTTCAATGATCTGTCATGCGTTTACTTATGAAAAAACTCTCAAAAGTCAGTACTTTTCCATACTTAAAGGTCTTGTGTGTTTTTCACCCCAAACAGTCCTCCCTCTGTTCCTCAAATCCCACCCCATCCTGCCTCCCAACTTCTCAAAGAGGACTTGTTTGGATCTCCAACTATTACTGTTCACATCCTAGCGTAGGGCTCGGATAACAGCGGCGTCTTCCACTATAGGGCAACGCTAATATGAGAGGCTGTCGTCAATGGCCATTTTAAAGGCTTCCTGCTCTCTGATTGGCTCTTGCTTTGGCTAATCAGGTTTGTGTTTGGCAGCAGGAATGTCTGTTTTTGCACTGAGAGAAATCAAAATACACCTCTTCCAACCCTCCTTAGTGTTACACAAACACTAAAAAGAGCTATGGGGCAAAATATAAAAAAAAGAAGGAAAGGGGACGTGTCGACTGGCACTAAAATTAGCAGTTTTTTAATATGCCTGTTGCAACAGGCTGAGGTTTATTTACTCAAAGGCATATAGTTAGTTAAGGGGTGTGTACCAGTGGATCTTGTTGCACAGTAAAAAATGTCTTCATTTCAAGCTTCAGTCCTTGGTTTCATGTGTATTTGTAGTGTAGTTCTCAATGTAAAAGCTTCTTGAAAGACAGGATGATTTTGTAAAAGAAGTTGTACTGAATTTTTGTGTTAGAGATGCAAACAGTGTGTTCCAGATGTTTGAGACTACTAGTAAATATTCTTCTATTTTGCATTGTTTTCATGATGAATCATGTTTTAACCATAGAATTTCTATGAAAAACTGAATTGAGCTAGAATTTAATTTAGTTTCTTTGTATTTTGTCATATTTTACTTTACCTTATTTCCAAATAATTACCTTTTTTATTTATAGCTGTTCATTAGTGATGACAGTGAATCTAGTAAAGATACTCAAACTTTTTACTACAAAAGGCCAAAAATTGAGGGCTGTGAGTTGAAATGTTGCATTATATCTAATGGTATTATTGTATTTTACTTATTTTACTCAAATTCTCTACATTTCAATGCAAAAATTAAAAAGAAAAAAATGATGATCTAGCAAGATCATCCATGTACATTTCTGGGGTTTTACTGTTAAGGTTTCATAAATGTGTTACTTTACAATTTTACTGTAAACTTTACAACCGTTTGTAAGCATTTTAAATTGTAAGCACTTTAAATTGATGCTGATTTACTGTGCAGACATCGTAATTGTACTCCTTTTTGACTGACTTTAAATAATTGTGATTATCGTAATAAAGCATCTGTTTCCTGTGGAAGACATTAGATGAGTCATTTCGAAAACGCCTTAAATATCCAGGAACCACCTAAAATAATACAGACACTGGCCTGTTAGCGAAACCATTTACATTAAAACTAGTTAGCGAGCATGCACTAAAATATATGTCGATTTACTTTACAGATGCAAAGAAAATGTTCTCCAGCTATGATTTAACTGTATTTTGCCATTTTAAAAGCCACTTTCTCAATTCTATACTGTGTTGTGGTTTGTTACCAGTATTGCTATATGCAGTTGCTAAGATATTCGGAAGGTTTTTAGCATGTTGCTACACGAACATGTGGTTTTTAGCTCTGCGGATATGGCTCAGGCCAAATCAAACTAAATATGAGAAACAGTATGCTTCCCTTAACACTGCCTAGGGAAACACCTTGAAATATTAAGGATTCACCTAACAATACTGTTGATGCCGTCAGATTGTCTTCTTGGAATCAAAGTGGTTCATTTATAGAAGTGAGAATCACATCCATAAAATGACATCAACCATAACTGCAGCTGGGTACAAAGTCACAGAGGGAGAATACAAAATGGCAGCGTTGACACGACAGTGGTATTGTTATTGAAACTATAAAAAAATCGGTTTGTTTGTTTTTTTGGTAATTGAAAATTACATTATTTTTTGTTTTTTGGAAAATAATATAAAATAAACATAAAACTAGAAATGTTGCACTAAAATTACTAAAACTGAAATAAAAATTATTTAAACAATATGAATATTTTAAATGTATATATTAATATACACAATTAACAAAATTATTACATTTAAAATTAGATCTCAAAATCTCAAAATAAAAGCTCATTCAAAATATTAATAAATACTATAAGAATATTGCCCAATGCCAGGACACATTTTTTCTATGGATTTTTTTTTCTTACAGTGTATTAATAATTGTAAAATAACACAGCTTCAGGAAAACAGTTCTGTTGTAATGTATAAAGGCTACATGGATATCTATGTTTTATTTAAAGTCATATAAAAGGTTTTTTTAATCAGTGTTCATCATTACTCTCAAATCTAATAAGAAGATATTTAATAGGGGATGCCCATAAGGTCAACAATTTCTTCCTCTCTGACAATGAAAAACCCCATTTTACTTTCAAATCTGGTGCGTTTCTGACAAAAACAGTCCCGTTGATCAAACACCAGCACTCAAACCACTTCAGGCTGACAGAGACAGATCATCGGCATGAAATGGGGCTGTTTCTGTCGCATGATTTGCTCAATATTGGGTGTAGGAGGCACTTTATTGTTAGAGACATCTGTGAAGG